CCAAAGATTGTACCATTTTGCATTCCTACCAACAGTGTATAAGTGTTCCAGTCTCTCCACAACCTCTCCAACGTTTATTATTTTGTGTTTTTTGGATTAGTGCTAGCCTTGTTGGGGTGAGATGATATCTCATTGTAGTTTTGATCTGCATTTCTCTAATCGCTAATGATCATGAGCATTTCTTCATGTGTCTGTTGGCTGCCTGAATATCCTCTTTGGTGAAGTGTCTGTTCATATCCTTTGCCCATTTTTTAATTGGGTTATTTATCTGTTTGTTGTTGAGGTTTTGCAGTATCTTGTAGATTTTAGAGATTAGACGCTGATTGGATTTGTTGCAAAATTTTTTTCCCAGTCTGCAGGTTGTCTTTTGACTCTTTTGGTGAAGTCTTTTGATGAGCATAAGTGTTTGATTTTTAGGAGCTTCCAGTTATCAAGTTTCTCTTCTGGTGTTTGTGCATTGTTAGTAATGTTTTGTATTGTGTTTATGTCATGTATTAGGGCTCCTAGCATTGTCCTTATTTTTTCTTCTATGATCTTAATCGTTTTTGATTTTATATTTAAGTCTTTGATCCATTTTGAGTTAGTTTTTGTGCATGGTGTGAGGTATGGGTCTTATTTAGGTTTTTTGCAGATGGATATCCAGTTATGCCAGTACTGTTTGTTAAAATACTTAGGAATAAATCTAACCAGAGACATAAAAGATCTATACAATTAAAACTACAAAACACTACTGCAGGAAACCAAAAGAGACCTGCATAAGTGGAAAAACATACCTTGCTCATGGATAGGTAGACTCAACATAGTGAAAATGTCAGTTCTACCCAAAACAATCTACAGATACAATGAAATACCCTTTTCCCCAATTAACAGACTTTGAGCCTTTGTCAAATATTAGCTGCTCATAGGTGGAGGAATTCATGTCTGGATTCTCAGTTCTGTTCCATTGGTCTATGTATCTGTTGTTGTACCAATACCAGGCTATTTTGACTACTGTGATGTATAATATGTTCTAAAATCAGGTAGTGTGAGGCCTCCCACTTTGTTCTTATTCTTGAGTAATGCTTTATTTATTCGGGGCCTCTTCCCTTTCCATATGAAGTTGGTGATTTTTTTCTCCATCTCATTAGAAAATGCCGGTGGAATTTGGATCGGTATTTCATTGTATCTGTAGATTGTTTTGGGTAGAACTGACATTTTCACTATGTTGAGTCTACCTATCCATGAGCAAGGTATGTTTTTCCACTTATGCAGGTCTCTTTTGGTTTCCTGCAGTAGTGTTTTGTACTTTTAATTGTATAGATCTTTTATGTCTCTGGTTAGATTTATTCCTAAGTATTTTATCTTCTTGGGGGCTATCGTAAATGGTATTGATTTGGTAATCTCCTCTTCGCGGTTCTCTTTGTTGGTGTAAAGGAATCCAACTGATTTTTGTATGTTTATCTTGTATCCTGAAACTTTGCTGAAATCTTCTATTAGTTC